GCCGGGGGCCACAGTGGTCTGTCCTCCAACTTCAATGAATGGTACGTGTGAGGGGCCGGGGGCCGCTCTCCCTCTCCCCGTCCCCGCCCTGGCGCAGCAGCCCTCCACCACCCAGGGCATCCTGTGATTGTGATGCTAAAATTACGAATCTGATTTTTATGATGACAAAAAATGATTTTACCAGCAGGAGGATTTTTCAAAGTTGTTGTTTGTTGTTGTTTTTTTTTAAAAAAAAAAATAATAATCTAGGCATGAAAAGCAAAAATATCCCTAACGGAGTCTCTGAAGCTGAAAATATAAAATAAGGAATAAAAAAATTAAAAAAAAATAAAAACCCATAAAAATATCGAACCAAACCCCCTCCCCTTCCCTCACGCCCGCTTGCCTTCTCACCGCACTCCCAGTCTCTGGCAAACTGTACATAGCGGACTCCTTCCTTCTCCGAGGTGGTTTTAATGGCTTCTTGGTGTATAGAAGTTTGTCCATTTGTAATGCTCCGGATTGCGTTCCTCCCTGCCTCTTCCTCCCTTCCCCAACGTGATGGGCTTTTTCTTTTCTCTTTTTAGTTTACTCGGTTTCTTTTTAAGTAACGTGGAAGAAAATGGTTTCTTTTGTATTGTGGTATTGAATATTGTGTTCCTTTCATGAGGCAACTTGATTGTAAACTTCATGCAACTATAGACTGGAAAAAAACGAGCCGTGCCAAAGTCTCCCTTCTTGTCTCTTCAGCATACTGATCCACACAGCACACACATACACACCACCACCACCACCAACGCTTGTGAATGTATTTTTCTGTTAGCTGGGTTTACCTGTGATGTTTTAGTGCTTTTGCGAGTTCAATTTGTTAGTTCCTGTATGAAAGATTGTGGGGTGGGGGGGGAAATAAACGTCGTGCCGTTAGCTTTTTCCTTAATAACACCCTTCCTTCTGTAAATACCCGTTACCATATTTATCCATTTGTAATTAAATTATGGTATTAACTTGCTACAGAGGAAACAATATTTATAAAGAATGTTTCTTAACTATAAATATGTACAATTGTGGGCATAAACTGTTTCAGATTTTTTATTTGAAGGTTTTAAGTGGTTTGATCCTTTCTTGTGATATGTTTTGAAAGTAATGCATACAGAAATATAATAAAACGTGTTGAAACTGCATGAACATACTGGTTTTTTTCCTAGCGAAGTTATTGAAGAAAATGGGAACAGACAGCGGAGGGTCCGCATGGGTATGGATCAGCTGCCCGGATGAATGGGAGCAGCACCTCCCAGGCTGGAGAGGAAGGTGTATGTATGCAGAGAAACGGGGCCAAGCTCCCCTTTGGCAGAAAGTCTCAAAATTCCTTTCTGTGGCCTTTGTTTCATAGCTGAGAGTGAATTAAATTTTTGGAAAGCCCTTGTGAGGAAGGGCGGCAGGAACCTTCAGAGTTTCTAATGGCTCCATTATCTGGGGGAATGCCTTTCTTTCAGCTATTTGGACTGGGTTTAAGAGCACTAAATATTTCCTTATTCTTTGTTTTCCCTCATCCCTGCCCCCTTCCCTCTCCCTCTGAAAAGCCGAGGTACAGTTATTTTTAATTGCACATTTAAAACTGAGCTGAGTACTTTGTTTTTGAACTTGGCCCAATGATGACAGTCTAAGGGACCATTTCTACCAAAAGTGTTTTGTGGGGGTTTTTTTTCTTGAAAATTTCAACAGCTTGCTCAAGAAATCCTGCTTATCTGCACAGCCCCTGCACGCCGGTAAACAGAATGTTCGAGAGAAGAAGGTGATAAATTGACTACTTTTAAATTTAGGAAAGCCACAAAGCCGTTGGCCCAAAATGAAAGAGACCCTCTTCAAGAATTCAGTGAAAGAAAATTTAAAAAGATGGAAACGGCCAGGTGGGTGGGTGTAAGGCAGAACTCTGACCACCAGTGTTCTCTGTTTGCAGCCTCACTCCCCCTCCTCTGCAAGAGTTTATCAAAATTCCCAAACAAGTGGCTCCAAGGAGGAAGGCAGTTTTAATGATTGAAGGGAAGGGATGGGGGAAATTCTTTTTAGATCCCATCGAGACATCTTCATTTTCCTCAGTACCCTTGTATCTCTGAGAGGCCCTGCCAATGCCCCAGGCACACCCCCCGCACCCAGTGGTGAAAAGATTTGGGCTGTAGCAGCGACACCTCCAAAGGATCCCCCAGCGTGCGCAGGTCTCTGCTGGCGGAGAACAAGGAACGCGGGTGGCTGCTGCAGAGACCCTGTATCTCTCTCCCCTTCGGCCCTCCACTGGGCCGCAGGGCCAGGCAGGCTCGGCCTAAGGGCCGCTGGAGGAGAGAAAGGCAACCCTGACCTCTTTGGAGGCCATGACACCTATTCAAAGGGAAGGGAAAGACTCCAGCCCCGGGGCTGTGTGTGTGTGTGTGTGTGTGTGTGTGTCCCAGAGGGTGACAGATGCTGGCCTAGCCCTCCCCAGCAGCCTTGCGAACTGCCCAAGCGCCAACTCCTGAAGCAATCAACCCTATTAAAATCAAATTTATAACCCCTAATAATGTTAAGGAAAATTATTAAAATAATTGGCATATGTTACTGATCCTTGGGAGATTTCACTGAACACATTATAAGCTGTGAGGAAAATCCTTTAGGGGTTTCCAACACCCCCCCCATCTTGGGGAGGGGGCAAAGGAATCATAAAAAATTAGAACTTGTGCAAAAATGAGATGGTCTATTCTAAATATTGTAAAGTGTGTGTGTGTGTGTGTAACTTACTGGCTTTGAGGGTGTGTGTAACTTACTGGCTTTGAGACATCTCTCAAATCTAAGAAGGATGAAACGGGGGAGGTGGAACTTTAGTATCAACTCAAGGCCTTAGGGGTTTGCTTCTCATTTGGGGGAAGAAGGAACCCAGCAAGAAGAGAAGACGATCTCACAGCCTTGGCTGGACCGCTTTCCAGCTTTCCAGATCTGAACAGCGGAGAGCTGCCGGACGACCCGGCGCTCTCCTAGTTATCAGCAGGATATAAAGATGGGAAGGGAGATGGCGTGAGAAGGAAGGTGACAGCCTGGGAGCCGTCTCCCAGTCCACCCTAGATGGGAGCGGCTTTCCTGCAAAATGGCTCCTAGTGCTCCGGCCCCTGCATCCCACAGCTCGGTTTGTCCAAACAAGTCACGGACCCGACGTCGCTGCCCAACCTCCGCCTTTCTTTAGGGCCCCTCGAATCCCGGGGGCAGGAGGGGGGCGGGGGTGGTGGGGAGATGGCAAACGTGTAAGAATATCCAAGGTGTCAGAAGTGCTCCACTGGGGACGCGCGCGGGTGCCGG